TTCATCAAATCATGTACTTCATATAATGCCAATGATTGCAATCCCCTCCATATAACAGTAATTATCCTACTTCCTCCCTGTGATTCTTATTTCCAGTCTCTTTTCCTTCCTTTCCCTTCAGAACTTTGTCCATAGACAAATATTGTCCTTTTGATCTTGAATGATTGACCATTCCATGCTGAGCATCTTATTAGTGTTGTGTTCTCCCTATTTGCCTATCTACCTCTTGGCTTAACATTGAGACACTAAGGTGAGTCTAGTTCCAGACCCAAAAGGTCGCCGAGGGCCAGTCTCAGGTTTCTCCAGTCTTTTTTTTTTTTTTTTTTAATTTTGGGTTTTGTTCCACATTTTCTCTTACTCTATCCAGTGACTTCTAATGTGATCACTTTCGGAGCAGTTAGTACTGGTAGCCTGGCACCATCTAGTTCTTCTGCTCTTAGAGTTGTGAAGACTGATGTTCACATGTTCCATTTAGCCCATTGGACTAATTGATTTCATGTGTTTTCAATTTTTATTACTCTACTTCGCACATGGAAAGACCAGTATGGTTGTATCTTAGTTGCTTCTTTATGAGCTTTTAAGATCTCAGTTGCTGCTTCACCAAAGTAGAATGTAGAACATTATATCAGTTTACCATGGTGTCCCCTGAGACTATGATCCTGAACTCCTAGGCTCAGCTACTCCTTGTCTCATGGTGTTGGTAATGTCTAAGAAATTTTCATCATTTTGTCCCCTGTATGCTCTGGTAGCGTAGTGGTTACGAATCGGGCTGCGAACCTTAAGATCAGTGGTTCGAAACTACCAGCCGCTCCGCGGGAGAAAGATGAAGCTTTCTACTCCCGTAAAGATTTACACCCTTGGAAACCCTGTACAGGGTCGCTATGGGTCGGACCCGACTCGATGGTACTTAACAACAACAACAACAACAATGCTTTACCACATTAGTAGATGTGTTTGCAACAAAGGTAAATACCCATGCACAAATATCCTCTATGAAACCTTTATATATTTGTTGGTATACTCCCACTCTCCCTTCCTTACCTGTTAATCCTGTGTATCTATCCTTGTATCTGCTTGTAGACCATTGTTGTTTTAGGTTTGTGTATTTAGAAGTGTGTTTACCTCTATTCCCTTTGGCCCTTGCATTCCTCCCTGTGTCTTCTCCTGTGTACTACATTCCTGTTGTATATTGCCTTCCCTGTTACCCAAATTAACACCTGTCTTCTTTCTCTCCATTGAATTTACTCTCCCGTCCCTTCCATCCCTAGTAACTTATGTTATGTTTACTCATGAATGTTTCTTTGAGGATGAAAATGTTTTCTTGAGTTTTTACATTAGTGATCTCATGCAATATTTGTCCTTTTGTGATAGACTAATTTTACTCAGCATAATTTCTTCCAGGTTCATCAATGTTATGAGGTATTTCACTGCTTCTTCATTATTGCATCATATTTCATTGTGTGTATGTAACAAAGTTTCTTTATCCATTCTTCTATTGATAGGTATTTAGGCTGTCTCCATCTTTTTGCTGATATGAATAGTGCTGTAATGAACATACATATATTTGTGTAATGGCTTTTATTTTTAGAGGATATATACCATGTAGTAGAAGTATTATTACTGAGCCATGTGTTATTGCTATTTCCAATTATTTTTGAGGAATGGCCACAGTGGTTGTACCATATTATAGTACCAGTCTCTCATCTGTAACAGCATTTGTTGTTGCTATTGTAAGTGGTGGTATTTTCTTGGTTTCCTTTTCAGAACTTTGCTATTAATGTTGAGGTGAGATGATAATCTCATTGTTTTGATTTGCATCTCTTTAATATAGCGTATTTGAGAGTAAGCATTTCGTATGTTTGCTGACTGCCGGATTGTCTTCTTTGGTCAAGTTTCTTTTTATATCTTCTGATCATTTTTAAATTGAATTATTTGTCTTTTTCTTGTAGAGGTGTTGAAGTTATCTATTAATTTTAGAGAGTAATCCCTTTTTTGCTATGTCATTGCAAAAAATGTTTTCCCAGTCTGTGTGTTTGCTTTTCACTCTGCTGCACATTGTTATTTTAAAGTGCCGTTGAGTTGGTTCCAACTTATAGTGATCCTGTATAAGGTTTCCAAGGCTGTAAACCTTTGCAGGAGCAGAAAGCCACCGCTTTTCCTACAGAGTGGCTGGTGGCTTGAACTACAGACATTGTGGCTCACAGCTCCGTGCTTATCCTAGAGAGCCACCACATTCCCTTGCTGCTCATAAGTATCTAATTTTCAGAAGGTCCCAGTCATCTGTTTTGTCTTCTGCTGTTTCTGTATTTTCTGTTATGTTTGCCTGTGTTTTTTTTATATGGTGTGAGATATGGGTGTTGGTTCATTTTTGTACAAATGAACTTTCAGTTTTGACAGCATAGGTTGCTGAAAAGACTCTCATCCCAATTTAAAGTGTTTTGGCCCTTTGTTAATGATCAACTGACTGTATGTGGAAGGATTTACTTCTGGGTTTTCAATTCTGTCCCATTTTGTGTGTCTTTTGTTATACCAGTACCAGGCTGTTTTGACCTCTGTGGCTGTATAGTCGGTTTTGAAGTCAGGCAATCGGAAGTCTTCAACTTGGTTTTTCATTTAAAATAATGCTCTGTTTATCTGAAGTCTCATTCCTTTTACCATATAAAGTTAGTGATCAGTTTTTTTGACCTCTTTAATGAATGGTGTTGGAATCTGGATGGCGATTGAATTATATTTATAGATGACATGTGCACAGTATTCTTCAGCATAATATGGTGGTGTGCTATGGGGTCACTTCCAACTCATAGTGACCCTGTATAGGGTTTGAGGCTGTAAATCTGTATGGGAGCAGAAAGCCTCATCTTTCTCCCACAGAACAGCTGGTAGTTTCGAACTGCTGACCTTGGGGTTAACAGCCCAATTCATCACCACTATGCTGCCAGAATATATTCTTCCTTTTTTTTTTTTTGTCTCTTTTGGTTTCTTATAATATTTTGTAGTTTTCTTAGTATAGGTCTTTTGTTGCTCTGTTTAGGGTTTTTTTTTTTTACTGTTTTATTGTGAATTATATGACAGTTTACATGGGAGAACATTAGCTTTACATTTATCCTATCATATATCATTTCATTGCCATGATTACAACCCCCTCCATGCATCATTAAACAACCAAAGGGTATACCTTGCAAGCCTTCCCCTCGGTCATCAGCACACAGCTCCCCTCCCTCTCTGGGTCTAGAGTCCCCAGCCGCTCCATCTCTGGCGTCACTGTTTCTCTGGGTAGGGTCCCACACTCTGCTCTTCTCCCTGGATGGTCCCAGGGACCTCCACTCCTGGACTGCAAAGTCAGCCACTCCCCTCCTTTTGCTACAAAACATCTACCTTTACATTTCTAACACTCACATCAGTCTGGATAGTAATTATTCACTATTGTACCACAAGAGGCCTATGTCCATTTCCTTTCATCAGCTCCGCCCAGACAGATTGGATACTATGCAGTGGAGATTCTACCTTCCTCTGCGCCATCTGGATCTAAGCTCCCTCTTGAAAGCTTGTAAGCCAGTTAGTTACTTCTTGCCTTTGTAGCCTCCCCATTTTGGGTAGTCAGTGTCCAAGTTGCCCATCCCTGTCACTCTGTGTATGGAGGGGGTGGGAATGACCCTCGCTGGAAAGATTTGTTGCCTTCTCTGGTTAGATTTTTTTCTTAAGTATTTCTTCTTTTGGGTGGCTATTTAAGTACTGTTTTCTTGATTTCCTTTTCAGAACTCTCTATTGGTTGGTTGGTTATGTGCCATGGAGTCGGGTCCAACTCTTAGCAACCCTGTATAGTGCTTTTGAGGCTGTAAATCTTTATGGGAGCAGAAAGCCTCGTCTTTCTCCTACGGAACAGCTGGTGGTTTCTAACTCCTAACTGTGATGCTAGTAGCCCAAATCATAACCACTAACTACACTTAGTGTAAATAAATCCGACTACTTTTTTTTTGTTTTAGTTAGTATATTTGAAAAATGTATATATATGTTCCTTCAGTGGACTCTCTTCAGAGATAATTTTTGTTTTTGTTTTCATGAAGCACCTAGAGAGGTTAGCAGTGTGGAGTCACTTTCCAAATTCAAGGTTTTAAGTTTCTGTATTACTTAGGTGGGAACACTGTGGTTTCAGATGATAAGCACTGGACTGCAAACCACATGGTTTGTGGTTCTATCCTGCTAGCTGCTCCATGGGAAAAAGAGGAGACTTTCTGTTCCAGTAAAGATTTAAAGTCCTGGAAACCCTATATAGGGTTGCTATAAGTCAGAACCGACTCAACAGCACTTAACAAAAAACAACTACTTAAGTAGTACATGAGTCCTGGTGTGGTGCTGTGGGCTAATGGGTCAGACTGCAAAGTCATTTAAACTGCAAGGTCGGTGGTTCAAGCTCACCAGCTGCCCTTTGGAAATCCTATACAGGGTTGCTATGGATCGACGGCACTTAACAACAACAACAAAGTAGTACATGGAGTCCTGGTGTGGCGCTATGGGCTAATATGTCTGACTGTAGAGTTGTTTGAACTGCAAGGTCAGTGGTTCAAGCTCACCAACTGTTCTTTGGAAACCCTATACAGGGTTGCTATGGATCAGAACTGACTCGATGACACTTCACAACATCAAATAGTACATGTATGAGGTGATAGGAAGCTAGTCTGCAGGTATATACTTGAAATTGTGTAGCTCTTTTGGTTCCAGGTTAGAGTTGTGGTTGTAGTGGGTAAACAATCAGTAAGTTGTTTTGGTTGCACATGTTTTTATGGCAAAAACAACTTTGAATGTTTAACCTAGCTTTGAGTTCTTGACTTACCGTAGGTTTTTGTCGGATGAGTTTTTCATGCTTTTAACATTCTTTGTTTAGTTCATTCTTTTTATTTTTTCTTCCATTACAGAGTGATCTTATTTACCTATCATTTATAGAGACATGAAATCTTGTTCTTTAGTTTGCATTTTTCTTAATGTTTGTTTGCTTTTTATAGGTTGTACATGAAACATTTCCTGAACACACATTCCTCATGAATGGTCTCATTCAAGGTGTAAAGGTAAGAACAATTGTTGTGTGGTTCAGAACGAACCAAAGCTAAGGATTGGTTTGTAGTTTAATTAGAAAGTTTAAGCAGAACTTAGAAACTTTTACTATTTGTTCTAGAGACCTAAGTCTACATTCTTAATTGTGTTATCAAAACCAAAACAATACGACACATTAGCAGGAGTTTACTGCTAACAGCAGTTTGGATACTCTATAGGACATATTTCACTTTAATTAACAGGTACATAGTAGTTATTATGTGGATTTTTAACTGCTCTGCCTATCAACTGAGCAAGGTAGGCAAATTCTACTGATTGTTTTTAGATAGCTCCTTTCTTACAACTTGTTGAGTTTTCAACCACTTGACTTTTATTGAGTCTAAATTCATTATTTAAGTTTTAATGTGATACTTATCAGAAAAGCTTATAAGTAAGTAATTAAAAATATAATGATATATTCCTGTCCCACTTTAGTGTCTAATTTTCCAGTTTATATAATGCCAATCTGTGCATAATTTTACTTTGTGCTGAATAAATACACTTACCTGGATGTTTGGGTTGTTTCTACATGTTAGGTATTATGGATTATGTTCCTGTGACTTTCTTTATAGGTACTTGTTTTCCTTTAGTAAATTTGCTGTGTCATATGGTAACTGTTCGGGAGCAACAATAGTAATAACAGTTTGATGGTTGAATATTCTATTGTCCCTTATTTACTTTGTTTTTTCCTAAAACATTTATTCGTGACCATACTTGTGTAGTGTATACATGTGTAGTGTGGCCCTTTGGGGTAAAGCAGCGGACCTCAAAGCTGGTGGTTCAAACTCACCAGCTGCTCCATGGAAACTCTATACTGGATCACTATGAGCTGGCACTGACTTGACAGCACTTAAAAACAACAACATACATGTGTCCTGGTGTAGCACTGTAGGATAAACACTGGACTGCTAACTACAAGGTTGGCGGTTCAAACTCTCCAGCCATTCATTGGAAACCCTATACAGAGTTGCGATTAGTTGGGACCAGCTTGACAGCACTTAACAATAACAGTGCCATACACGTGGACCTCGCCAGATGGAGTACACAGGAATTAAATTGACCATATCTATACTAAAGGAGCTCTGGTAGCGTAGTGGTTACGAATTGGGCTGTGAACCACAAGGTCAACAGTTCGAAACTACCAGCTGCTCCACGGGAGAAAGAGGAGGCTTTCTGCTCCTGTAAAGATTTACAGCCTCGGAAACCCTGTTCAGGGTCGCTATGGGTCGGAGCCGACTTGACGGCACTTAACAACAACAACAACATCTGTATTAAGGCATGGTGGAGGAGTTCGGTATCACCAACCAAAATAAGGCCAGGGTCAGACTGTGGAACATACAATCAAGTACTCATATGCAAATTCAGGTTGGGGCTGAATAAAATTAAAACATGTTCAGAAGATCTAAAATACAACTTTCACCATATCCCACTTGGATTTAGAGACCATTTCAAGAATAGGTTTAATGCATTGACTGAAGACTAGACGAGTTGTATGATGGCATCAAGAACATAATACATGAAGAAAGCAAATAATCCTTATAAAGACAGGAAAGACTGAAAAGGCAAAATTGGATGTCATAAGTCACTCTGAAACTTGCTTTTGAACACCACGTTGCTGAAGTGAATAGAAGAAATGAAATAAAAGAGCTTAACAGAAAATTTCAAGGAGACTTTAAAACGTAAAGTATTGTAATGAAATGTGCAGTGATCTGGAGTTAGAAAGCCGATAGGACAGAACATGATGGACATTTCTTAAGATTAAAGAGCTGAAGCAAAAATTCAAAGGTATGTATGGCCAGTGAGCACAGTGGTTCCATAGGATAAGTAAGCACCAGGTTGTGAACCACAGGTCGACAGTTCAAGCCCACCAGCCACAACACAGTAGAAGGATGAGGCTTTGTAGCCACAAAAGATTTAAAACCTTGGAAACACCATACAGTGTTGCTATGAGTCAAAACTGCCTTCATGGCCTTTAACAACAACAATGGACAGGAAACATCAAAAGAAGATGGAAGGAGTACACATAGAAGCATTGTACTAAAATAAATTGGTCGACATTCAATCATTTCAATTGGTAGCATATTATCAAGAACTGCTGGTATTGAAGGAAGACATCCACGATACACTGAAGGCATTAGTAAAAAATGGGGTTGCAGTAATTGCCAGAATTCAAATTGAAATGTTTGAGCAAATTGATTCAACACTGGAAGCACTCACTAGTCTTTGTTAAGATTTCTGGAAGATAGCTATCTGGCCAGTTTTATACTCGTTCCAAAGAAAGATGGCACAATAGAGTTAGACACAAGTAAAATTTTGCTAAAGATAATTTTTAAATGGTTGCATCAGTACATAGGGAGCTTTAAGTAATTTAAGCCGGATTTAGAAGAGGATATGGAATGAGGAATACCATTGCTGGCATCTGATGGAACTTGGTGGAATGTTTAAACAGAGCAAGGGGATACTGCATGTCTTAAAGGTATGCACCTGCCATACTAATTCATTCTGTATTCTGGACATATAATCTGGGAAGCTGAACTTTTTGAAGAAGAACAGAAAGAGCTAGAAAAGATCTCACCATCGTGGTCCAGTTTTCAGCAAACTAGTTAAAACAAGTTTATAGGGAGGCATAACAACACTAGTAAGGTGTGCTCACCATTCAGTGGTCAAGCATTCAAAATCCAAAGGGCAACATTTTACCAAAGACAAAGTTGTGAAGGGGTGGGAAGGTGGGTGGAATGTAAATAGAAACCACTGTTTGGGGAAGCGGGATAAACTTTTGCTGCAATCACTTAGATGAAACAAACTGTATAATTAGTTAAAATGTAAAGCTGATGATCTTGTATTTCAACCTTCACTCAGTTCACAGTAAATAAATAAATACAAACATATCTACACACACACGAAAAAAGAAAGAGAAAATATTTTTTTTTGTTTTTAACAAGAGTTAAGGGAAATAGAGGTAAGTACGGTTAACGATGCCTCAGAAACTCTGCAGGGTTGCTATGAGTAGGAAACAACTCCACAGCACACAGCCACCACCATCACCACTGTTACTGATGGTACATTGAGGTATTTGCAATCATTGTAATGAAGCAAAGTATGTGATTGGATGACTGTAAAACCTTCACTTAATTCATAATTAAAAAAAATTTTTAAACCAAAATATGACAACATTGATATTGATGAGGATATGTGGAGACTGGAACCCTTATCCACTGCTGTGGGCACTGTAAAATGGTGCAACCATATGGCACTTCCTCAAAACATCAGAAATAAAACTGCTTTATGATCCATTAATTCTACTTTTAATACAAGTAACAAGAATAGACATATACACTTCTGTGTTCATTGTAGCATTATTTATAATGGTAGAAAATACATACAGCCTTGTCAGGTGCCGTCGAGTCAGTACCAACTCATAGCAACCCTGTTTAGGGTTTCTGTGGAGCACCTGGTGAGGTTGAACTGCCAACCTTGCGATTCAGAGCTACCTTGCAGTCCAGCACATTAACCCACAGTGCCCCACCAGGACCCCGTAAACAGCCTAAGTGCCCTTGAACAAAGAAATGGATAAATAAAATGAATATACATACAGCAGAATACTGTGCAGCCATAAAAAACAATAATCAGTCTCTAAAACTTGATGTATCTGGAGATCATAATGATAGAGAAACCTAGTCAAACACATAAGGACAAATATTATATAATTCCACCTTTTTATATATTCTTGTCTTCACAGAAGTCATTGTTCATTGTGCTTACCAGTGGGTCAGAAGTACCTCTTGGCTAGATCAGATACTTGTTAATTTTTGGTGATGAGAAAGTAGCACTAAATGACCAAATAAACAATTATACTAGAAATTGTTGTCTTGGTGTCATACTGCAGGATAATGCACTGAACCGCAAGGTCAGTTTGAACCTCAAGGTCGGCAGTTGAAACCCACAAATTGCTCCTTGGAAACCCTACACAGGGTTGCTATGAGTAGGAGTCCACTTGATGACATTTAAACATGTATAGTTTGGCAACAACAACCACCACCATAGTGACTATATGGTTGCATATCAACTTGGTGGGTATTGGGTTTTGTGTTTGTTTTTTGTTTTTGTTCCTTTCCTGTTTTGTTTTGGAGTAGACATGTGTATAAGTATAGGTGTGTGTGTATGTGTGTGTGTGCCTACAGTTAGTTATGTGAACACACATAGTTTTACAGAGGATACCATTACAGATAGCTTCAGAATTACTTTGTGAATTGGTTTTATAGATTTGTTTCTGGTTTTCTGAATTTGAAGGTTTAGGACTTTAGTCTCATGGGACAACTGTCAGTTGAAGTATACAGTTCACAAAGTTCATACTCTGCATCTTATTGAGGTGAGTAATATCTGGAGTCGTAAAAGCTTGCAAGCCATTAAGATACAATTAATGATCTGTACTTGCCAAAGAAGAACCTTGCCTACAGGGCTAATATCTTACACTAGCCACAACCTCGTGTATTCTGAGATTAGAAGAAGAAGAACTAAATGGTGTCTGGCTACCACTGCCTGCTGTTATGATCAGGGCAACAATAGATGGGCCCTAATAGAATATGGGATAAAATCACAGAACTCAAATTCACCAGCGATCCAGACATACTTGACCAGGCTTTTGCCTTGAGATACTCTTTAAAGCTTGAACCAAAATTATCATAAGGTCATGTCTTAGTGAATTGTTAAATTGCCACACAAAATAAAGGATCGTACCCATGAGAATGGTGCTCCATTAAAAAATATATATACAAGGTCAAAAGATGCACAGTTTCTCTAAAGCAAAAAAGAGATGACAAGGGGGCAGGAAAACTACAGCACCAGAAAGAGGACAACCAGAGCGTAGACTAAACAGAATGTTGACACACTGTGGAAAATGTAACTAATGTAGCTGAACGTTTCTGGCAGAAATTGTAAAAAGGAAACCAAATTTGCTGTGTAAATTTTGACTTAA